TTTCAGGCACCTAGAATATCATTGGGATTCACACAGCCTGAGTCAGGCACCCAGACTCCCTATACAATGGAAGGGGAGAGGGAGACATCTAAGAATGGGATCCACAAAAGCCAGAACACTAGACTAAACTAGCCAATAGGAGGTGCTGTGACCCAGGGACCCATTGGTGCCAACTGGCAGAGGGCAAAAGGTGTTTACAGGGATCCTCTGGGTCAGGTTTCTATGTACCAGTTCACCAAAGGGTGGCATGTAAGGTCTCTACCAAGAGCTAGTAGCTTACTGGTCATCATCATTGTAAAATGTATGCACAGATGATATTTAAGGAGTTGTGTATCTATACTGAAAACTATGTTCTTAAGGTATGTACATTAAGACAGGTCAACAGAAGGTGATAAACAGGTTCTGTTCTGGTGGGGGTAGTAAACGCTTCTCTCTCTGGCTGGTTATTGTGTATTGTGATGCATCCGAAGAAGTGAGGTTTTTACTCACGAAAGCTTATGCCCAAATAAATCTGTTAGTCTTTAAGGTGCCACCAGACTCTTTGTTGTTTTCATAATGTAAGTCCATTTGCTTTACTGAGCCTAATGCTAATGCAGAAGTTGTGAATTCACATAAGAGAAGAGCTGCAGGAAAAAACAAAACAAGCAAAGGGGGTGTCCTGCTTACAAGTAAAGACAATGGATTTGGGAGGTGTAACTGGGGGTACTGAGGTAAACCCAGGATCCTGCACTGAGGAGACAAGCTGAGAGCACGGCTTGTTTCATGAAAAAGGGATTGCAGCCTACCTGGCTGAGAAACGCAGGTGAGCAATACTATCAGATATGACAGTAACTAATTAAGTAAGTCTAGGTTCTAGAATGTGTACTATAAGTTTATTTTACATGTAACTATTTGTTTTCAATATATCCATTTACTAGCACTTGAATCTCTCCTCTGTGTTAAATGAACTTGTGCTTGTTTTCATTATAAACATCGCTAAGGGTGTGTGTTGAGTGGAGCGAGGGGAAACTGGTAAGCTGGGGTGTCCTGCTTCTTTGGGAGCAGTGGATCTGTGAATTCACAGAGTGTCCAGTGGACCAGGGACTGGACACTCCAAGGAGATACTCCAGTGTTGGAGAGTGCCAATTACTAACCTGCAGAGGGACAGCGGAACCTGCATAGGCTGAGAGGGGAGTGCTTGTGTTGCCCATGGTTGGTGGGATTGGGGAGCTGACCCCCGACAGACACAGATAAGGCTTCCTCATTCTAAGGGCAGGTGGTAGAGAGGTGCTTCACAACCCTGGGAAGCATCATAGATACCAAGGACAGGAGGGTGTCTTAAGCCCCCTCCCTTAGCCCAGTGGTTAGGTACTCATCTGTGATGTGGAAAACTACTAGGTTATGTCCCTCCTCTACTTGAGGGGAAGAAGGGATTTAAACAGGGGTCTCCAAACACTCAGGAGAGTGAGATAAACTCTGGTTGATGTAGCTTTCCCATTCTATTCCGGTGAAGCTGTTGCACTTTGGATAAATATTTAAGGTGT